TTAGGATTTACAAAAAAGTTTAAGCAAAGAGAATTTCTCTTTTTTCCAGATCTACTTTGTCGAAAAAAGACAGCATACACAAATGGAAAATCTCTATCCAATCCTTTTCACTTTGATTCAGCGCCCAAATATAAAACTAAAGAAATCATCTTGAATTCGAAAACCATCAAAATAATATATAAGATTGTTTCTCGAAAATCTCTTGTATACTTATTTCTACTCTTTGAAGTTTCATTTGGATCACTTGTATCTTATTTTATTGTTACTGCTGGTGTTATCTATGATATTATCGTTGAATCACCTAGTGTTGGTCAATAGGAATGAGAGAGAAAATAGACGTATTTTAATGATTCTTTTATTCAATGATCGTTGTTCTCATTGCCTATTGTGCAACTAAAATTTTTATTCAATAAGAATTCGTTTTCTATAAATTAAACAGAAGAGAAGAATACATATATTTTTTTTGTTTCTTGTATTTTAGTATAAAATACCAAGTTATTTGAGTTAAAATCATAAATTTAACGAATAATTATTATTATCATTTATCGTTTAGAGATTTTTTTTTATGATTTTCTTTCTTTATTTATTGATTCTGAGAGTTGTTTTAATTGATCTGTTTTTTGTTTTGCTTGTCATTTATTGTTGATGTTTTTTTTGTTCTATTCATTGTTATTCTTACAAAGTTATTGATTAACTTTCAATACAAAAAAAATGTTTAACATATAATTGATTCAATTGTCTTATATTATGAAATGACACGAATCTATAGATGAAACATCGAAAAAATAGCTGAAATTAATGAAAAATAAGCTACTGAAATGATTATAAATAAAATGCTATCAGACTGATGCAATTTGACATTAGGAATTTATCAAATTTCTACTCATATAATCGTCTTGGGTAAAATGAAATCTGTGATTTCAAAATTTATATTTTATATAAGATATGAAATTTTGTTCAAGAAGTAAAGTTTTAAACATAGTAGCATTTCAAAAAATGAAATCAATATATGCTAGTTTTTTATTTCCGCAGAAATTTTTAGTTAGTATTTCACTAGTTACTAATAGAATAGATTCAGGTTGAAAAAATATCTTGACTTTTAGTAAGACTATTAATTATGTACTGAACTCGAAATGCTGCTCATTGTTCGCAACGATCAGTTTGGGTTCAGGAACTATCCCACCACTTCAGATAGTGTCGAATATTTAGGTCATATGCCCAAGTGCTTTTTCAAGGTACATGGACAACTATTGAAGCACTATAAAATTCGGTTAAGCTCGGGCTCGAGAGATTCTGAGCATGGTTGACTTTGTTTTAAGATGTAGTAGCCTTTTCAGTTTTCGGAACATTTATTCCAATGTGTAAAAATCCACCAGAGTCAATCCTAAAATCTTTTCCTTTTGTTTACTTCTACTTCCTTTTATTAATTAACTGAAAATGATTGCATTCAACACCGAAGTCGAACTTTCAAATTCGTTGCATGCATAAATGATTTGAAAAAGATATAGTATCGTAAATTCACCTTAGAAGTCTTCTTGAGATTAAAAGTATTAATCACAATAAATCATATCGATTAACTAGTACTTATAATTTACAATTGTTCATAAATAAATAAAAACTGAAGAAATCAATGTACTTAGGACATACCAAAAGTTCGTGCAGTGATACTGTAATACCTTATGATAAGCTTTAAGTAACTTTCTTTCTCTGTAGTCTGACAGAGAAAAAAAGCTCTATCTTTCTATGCTATTTGATCGTACTTCAACTAATATAATAATATTAAATTATCTATAAAACCTATTTCGGCTGGTTGTACTAGATCACAACGTGTGAGAACAGACTAGTTTTCAATCCCTTAATACATTGTATGAACAACCAAAATGTACCATAAGATGCAGCGTGAAAAGCTCTACAATTTACGTACGGCCACTTATTTTATAGCTGCACTTTTTGTTTTCAAAATCGATAAAGTTTTCAGGGATCAAATTTTGGGCATTGAGAAAATTGGTTGCATAGAATTTTCCTTTTTCTGAAAACAATTACAACAAGCTTTACTGTGTAGATTGTAGAGCTTTTCACGCTGCATCTTATAGTATATTTTGGTTATTAATACAAATAATAAGAAATTGAAAACTGTAACGCAAAACTTACAACGAGCACAAATATTAATGAAAAAAGTCTTATCGAAAATTTATTATCATCATATTACTTGAAGTACGATCCAATAGCATAGAAAGATAGAGCTTTTTTTCCTCTATCAGACTATATAGAAAGAAAGTCACTTTAAGCTTATTATAAGGTATTAAAGTATCACTGCACGAACTTTTGGTATGCCCTAAGTATTTGTATAGCTATGAGACAAGAGATGATATTATAAAGAAGAACCTTTAAGAATAGTAAAATAGAATCTGATATTAAGAAGTTAGAAAACTAATCAAAAGTGGATCCCTCAAGAAAAAAGAACCATAGATTTTTCAAAAGCTGTTTTCGAAAATCCAGTAAATTGTAGCACCTAGAGCTTATTTGCTAAAAGCACGTGTTTGAATATTAGAAGAGTTTTTGAAAAATCCTTGGTTTTTTAGGTAAATAGTAGCAAAAATCTATGCCAAAATAGAAGGCCATGACCTTTTATTCGGGGGAGAGGGAAGAGATTTTATTTTCCAAGCAACTCTTTCATAAAACTTTTATTCTTTGTTATTTCAACTGAAACTTCTATCATCTGTCATATGATTTCCATATTAAATTTATACTTTTATCCCAAAAGTATGCATTATTTTGAATTATGATAGAGACAATAAGAAAAAAACAAGGAAAAAATGTTAATGCTCAATCATCTTTGTTTTTATTTGTTGTTTTTCTAAAATTGAACATAAACAAACAAGAAGAAAACATATGGTAAAATTCTTCTTTTGGTTTTCTTGTATCGTTTTGGTTATTGTTTATATAATGCCAATTCGATTAGCAACATCAAGAGCATCATGATCAGCTTTAAGTCTAACATAAGCTTTCTTTTCCCCATCAGGTCGAATTAATGTATTGACTTTTTCACTATCAACATCATACATTTTTTTGACGGCTTGTTTAATTAATGGTTTATTGGCACGAATATTGACAATAAATACTAATGTATTATTATCTTCAATTTTTTTCATAGCCGATTCTGTTGTCAATGGATATTTAATAATGGCAAAATGATCAAGACGATTTCGTTTTGGTACAGATCGTCGTGGATATTTTGGTTGACGTTTTAAACGAAGTGTAAATGGACGACGAAATAATGGTTTTGTAATTATTTTACGCTTACGTGTTAATCGATTTCCACTAGAAAGTTTATTTAAATTTTGTTTGTTTATTTTCTTTTTTATTTACGAAAATTTATTTTATTTACCGAACAACTCGTTGTTTAGCTTTGAGTGCCGTTGATTTAACCTTTTCTTTACGTTCTTTAGAAACTACTTTTGTAGTAGTTGTTGCACTACCTGTTGGTTTTGCAGGTTTTTTGGCACTAGCTGTTGCTGTTGTTGTAGTAGCTGGAGTATCCTTCTTTTTTGACGAAGCCGAAGCCTCTTTTGTTTCTTTTTTTGGTCCCATAATAAAAGATGGAAATCTATAATAAATAATCAAAAAATTAAAATTTAATAAAATATATGTAATGCTATTCTGTACATAAAATCGAAGAAACAAATAGAAAAAAAAATCATGTCTGTTGTTTATCGATTTCTTTCAGTTGGATTTTGATTGGTTTAAATTTCAGTCAAATTCCATATTGAAATCCTCATTATTTTTTTCTAGAAAAGTTAAAATAATCATGTTTTCAAATTGATATACTATTTGAAATTATTCTTATATATGTAAATATAAAATCATTTATAGATGTCTCTAGTAGTCGAATTTTAATAGAACAAATTTTGAATAAATCTTTGAACTACACTTTAAGATTATTTTTTAAGTATAATTTTATTGATATTATTAATTCAAATCTACTAGTGTCGTAACCAAGACTTGATAAGTAGTAGGGCTTAATATGACCAGACTCTCGGGTGGATGAAAGAATCTCAGATGGTTTCATTCTGTCTTGTTGAAAAACTTGTGGCGAAATTTAGCTGGCATGACTTCGATTGGTAGAGGAAGAATCCAATGTGCCTGCTAAATTTTTATCTTCCTAATTATGCCACTAAACTCTACAATAAAGATAGTTTCATTATCGACAATACGCAAACAAAGAAAATATAAATGTTTGATGACAAAATATGTTTACAAAAATTATTAGCGTAGATCAGTTTTCTATAAAATGAATCTGATAAAAAATCGTTTCTACTTTTGACAAGTATATTAGAATTACCAAGATTCTCCATGAACAATTTTACTTAATATTTATACCTAATATCTCTTAATAATAACAGTGAATGATAAATTTTAAATATCTATTTTTGATAAGAAACAAAACTTATTTGACTTTAGGGATATATCCATTGAAATATTACGAAGAAAAATTCAGATTAAAGAAATAAGACGCAATCTGTATGCGAGAAACTATTAAATTGCAAGAAAATCGCATTTCTACCAGATGCAAAAAACACGTGAAGAATGTGCACAAGAAAAAAACTTGTGATATGATAAACATAACTTATACACGGTATCTTTGAAGAGTAATTGCTTGTTAAACGATCAACAATATGCGTTATGTTATATTGTCTATTAAACACTAAACTAAACATGAAATTCAGCAATTAAAAAAAAAAACAAGGTTATTCTTTTGCATTACTTTTCTTTTTAATGCTAAAAGAATTTTTTCGTTCTTTCGTTTCTATTCAAATCTAGTTAAATAAATAAAAACTAAAAGTTTTGTTCGAATTTTAAAGGACAAACGAATGAAAACAATAAAAATGAAAATTCATGTGTTAATCGTTGGTGGCATCATTTCGTTACTAGTTTTTTTCTATCTTTTATTTTTTTCCAATAAATCAAATGAAAATCGAATAACAAAAATTGAAAATCAAATGGAAAATATTGAAAAACAATTAAGCAGAATTGAAGAAGATAGAATTTTAACGGAATGGGAACGAATGATTCGTAAATATTTAAAATTACCACTTGATGATAATTACGGTTCACATGCAATCGTTCTTCTTGCTGCATTATATGTCTCCCAATCCGGTCCAATACTTGAATTAGGTATGGGAGCAACAAGTACTCCATTATTACATCGTTTAGCATTGAAACAAAAACGTTTTCTTTTATCAGCAGATTCTGATCTGCGATGGATTAATTATTTTTCTTCTTTAACTGGAAATAATACTCTCCATCAATTACAATATGTTGAAATTAAAACTGAAATGGGTATTGAGTGGGCTTCATCGAATCTTGCATATTATAAAAATTGGACTGTTGTATTTATTGATCATCGACCAGGACCACGACGTCAATTTGATTTAATGGGATATTCACATCAAAGTGATATTGTTGTTTTACATGATACAGAACAGAGTTCTTTGTATAAATATAGTCAAGGCTTATTATTATATCGTTATCAATATCGTTTTACTAAATTAAAACCTTATACAGATGCATTAAGTTCAAAAAATGAAACATTAATTAAAATGATTCGTCATTTAATTGAATCAACACCAGATTATTATTTTTCAAATATAACTTTAAATGAAAAATTTTAATTGTTTTTTAGAAAATTTTTGATATTTTTTTAGAGAATTGTTTTCTTGTATTCGAATATAAATATCCATTTGAACATGAGCAAATCGTTTCCAAAATAAAGATAATTCATCAAAAAATGAATCAAATTCAAATCGACAATTATGAAGATAATGAATTTGTGAAATAATTTTATTATTTATTTGATTAAAATCAATTTTTAACATTGTTAAAAGAAGATTTTCATCTTCTAATTCTAATCGATGACATTGATTTATTAATAATAATATACGTTCAGCTTTATATAATTTTTTTTGACATTGTTTTTGAATATTATCAATAAGAACAGAAAGATGACGTAAGATTATTTCATTTTTATTTTGTTGAAAAATATTTGAAAAATATTCTTTTGAGTTTAATTTATCTAAATATTTTTTAAAGAAAAATTTTTTTTTCTTAACCAAGTGTTTCTTTTTGTTTTACTTTGATGATAAGGTGAACATTGTTTAAGTTGATTAAGTTTATCATTAACATGATTTCTATTGTTATCAATTTGTTCAATACGAGTTTTTGTTTCTTTTATTTTTCTTTTTAAAATATCAATTGATGTTAATTCTTGATTGATACGTTCTTTTGCTTTACATGTTTTTTCATATAAGTAGTGACAATGTTTTGAAATTATGCTCGTTTGTTGTTCATTTGAACGGATTATCTTTATATGAAAGATCATATCTCAGATTAAAATTTATATTAAATAATTTTAATAAGTTATCTTTAAAGGTAAAACAATTGAAAAAGAAAAAACTTGTCCAATCAAGAGATATTCTTCTTGATCGGTGGATTATATAAATAAATAAATAATTGATTCAGATTTAAAAAGAAAACTATATAGTGACTTCTAAAATGATGCGACTATGTTTATTTTCAATCGTTTTATCCACCGTGGTAAACGCTACGAGTTTACTTTTACCAAAGACAGAGTCTCTAGAAAACTTAAAAGCAAGTTTTTTTAACTTCTAAGATTCTGTTCAAGTTACTCAGAGTGAAATGTCTTTCAGTTCTCTACAGTATTTTGTTTTTGATGAAAGGTATATCAACTTTACAAAAGGCACAAAAGTCATTTGCTTCTTGTTGTTTCATATGAAAACATCATTTTTGTCCCTTTCGTAAGACTGATGTATCTCGATCAAAAAATGTCGTAGAGAGCTGAAAGATTTGGTAAAGGATTTCGCATACTATCAGTCTGATTAATTCAAACAGCATCGTAGGAGCTGAAACACTAACTTTTCGGTCTTATAGAGACTCTATTCTGTGAAAATTAGACATTATTTTCATCTTCGAAAACAATTGCTGGAAATCAAATTCGTTGCACAAACTACTATTTGGATTCTTTTTAGCATTCACATGGCAGTAAGTATATGATTTGGAAACTACTATGCGAATAGAACATTTAAAATAATAATCCAATAGTTAATTAAAAAACTTTCATAAAAAATTAAGTCTATAAGATTTATTTTCGTTTCAAGTCATTGGTTATTTCGACTTACTTGCTTATGAGAATAATATTAAAGTCTTGTATAAAATTGACTAAGGACGGTTTTTTTTTTGTTAATATGAAAATAATGTTAATGATAGAGGAAATTGACAGAAAGTTTTTCATTTAGAAGAAAATTTCCAGAAAGAAAAAGTAATTTTTGACTTGTAAATATTTTTCAGCATTAACTCTTGTTTAGATATTTACATGCTCCAGTGTGGAAAGAACTAATGCTCTGTACTTTGATTTGTACAATGCATGAGAATCATAATAAATGCATAGAATTCAAAATACCTGTGCACTGAATCAGTGATCAGCAAGGTATCTTTTCGAGTATCCTATCATCAGTATGTCACAGGATCTTGACTGAGTACTCTGTTGAGAATTATCTCAATACATAGGTACTTACCTGGCGCTTGTCTAATTTCTATAGCATTCTATGAAAAATATTTCAACAAGCTGGTAAATTGAACATTTAGAAACATTTTGTAGTTGAGTGTTAAAGAGTCGTAAAGTTCCTGAAGATTCCTGTGACATATTGGTAGCAGGATAGTGTAAGCTTAGTAAATTGACTAGATAAAAAATTTGCTTGTAAATATAAATTAATTATTGAGGTAATCTTGAATAAATAAAAGTATTTTATTAAAACTAACTTTATTTATAGTTGATCTTAAAAAATCAGTTTGTGTTTTAAAATTAACATGTAACATAGTGATATCTTTAACAAATTTTTCTTCTAATTGTTGTTTATCAAATTGAAATTGTATAAATTGTTTAATAATATCTTCTTGTTCAATAACATTTAAAATATTTATTTGATTATCAAGTTCATTAAAATGTTGATCAATAAATAAATGTTTTAAAGAGTTTTGTTCTTGTTCAAATTCATATTTTAATATATTTAAATGATCTTCATAAATTTGACGTTCACTATTTTCTATTTGCTTATATAAATATAATAGATGATCTATTATTTCACTTGAACGAAGAAAAACTTCTCGTATAAATTTATTATTTTCATCAAATTGATTATTTAAACAAGAATATTTATAATCAATTAAATTTATCTAAAAAGAAAATATTTAAAAACAAAAAACTTTGATTTTTTATTAAATTACTCTATGCAAAAAATAATTTTTAATTTCTTGTTGATAAATTTCATTGAATTGATTAATTACTTGTGGTTGTCGAATATGAATCCATTTGTTATTTAAAAGACGATCAATATCATATGTTATCGGTTTTATTTTCGAATTATATACTTCTAAATGAGACATATAATTCAATTGATTGGGCCATTGTCGATGAGTTCGAAGTTGAATGTAATGAATTGATTTACGAGATATTTTCTTTTCTTGTTTCTTTTGCTTTTTATTTGACATATTATCTAATCTAAAAATGATCATTAATGAGAACAATATCATTATGGCGCTTTGTTCATACAGATATATGTCATACAAAGTAATCGTTTTGTTTGAAATTGAAGAAACTTTTAATAGAAAAAATCAACAGTACATTTGTATTCATTTTCAATAGCATCATTTAATTTAATAGAAAATTTTTTTTCGCTTTCCCTAACATGTGAAAAACTTAATGATTTAATTTTTAATATGAAAGAACATCACTAGATACAATCATTAATCTGTCCCTCTCTCCCTCCTTAGATTTCACTCTCGATAGAATAGAAACAGAACAAGAAATGCTGCATATTTCTGTCTACTTTTATTGTTTTTTTTTTTTACTGAATTTAAAAGAAAATTTTTGTGAACTTAGGGAATCTATCACTTTTGAATGTTTCGAATGATGACTATAGTACCCGGAATTTTTTCTATTATAAATCCAATATGAAAACTAATAGCGTAGATCGATGTAGTTTTTCAAGCGCTATAAAAATGCATAGTGATCATATTTACCATTAAGTTCTCTTTTTGATTACGCAGAACCATATAGATGCAATATTTTCTCAGATTTGTTAAATGAGATTTTTAGGAAAACTTTACTTTGAAATTTTTTCCAATACTATAACACGTGAAACAGCTTTATTGTGTATAAATAGATTGCCAAGAAGTTCTTTTACTAGTCTAATATCTTTACATCCTTTTGTTTGTTTAATCTCTACTTATCTTAAACACTATCTTACTACGAAAAAGTCAAAACAATCAATATTTAGATTAGTTAGTGTTAAAAACAAAGACCAATGATTAAGTTCAAAAGTTTCTTGTTTTCATAGCTAGTATTTTAAATGAGAAGCAAGTCTTACAATAAATAACAAAGCACATACGAATGTGTATAGTGAACTCAGAATTGCAGAGTTTCAACGTAGCAAATAAGCTATTGGGATATTTTAGTGTTACACGTATTGATAGCTAGCGGAAAAATATTGACATTGGATTATGATGATATTGATGACATAAAGTCATATTGGAATACTCGCAACTGTATAATCCCATATAATCTAAGAGAGAAGTTAACTCTTAAAAACCGAATGTCCCTTCTAAGGGACATTGTGATAATTACGATACAAGACATAATAAAACTATTTATGCAATAAACATTATTTTTCTAGACTTCTTCTATGATCTGACTGATCATAGAAGGAAAAAGAAATTACTCATAATTGACGGTCAGAAGATATAGCAGATTTTTTTTAAATTTGCAAATCGAAAATTTTGTCTGCTCATGAATACAACGCAAATTTTTTGTTTTTTTTTTCTTGAACGAAATTTCTATGCACAAGATCAAAGTATCTGATGAAAACATTCCATAAATTTCTAATTAATCTACTGATGAATTATGATATCGTAAAGAAAATGTCCCTTGAAAGGAACATTTGATCTTGATGGTCTGAAATATCCTAACAATATAAGTATAAACTCGACTAAGCATTATATCGAAACGGAAAGTACGTAAACGTTGAACAGATAGAAAATATTGCATCGATCGGTTCTTTGTATGATAAAAAATAAATAAAATTATTCTTTTTACATAAATTGAGAAAAATAGAGAACTGAGACTGTTAAGACTGAATATCTCTTCCTAAAAGAAACACTTTGTATTTTTATAAGCAAAGAAATAGAAGATTTTTAAACTACAATATGAGCATGCTGAGAATTCAGACTCACTATTTTTGTGATCAATTTTTTCTCACAGTCAAAAGATCACCACTCGGCTTTTAACAGTCAATAGTAAATACGATGACGATGTCATAAAGTTGAGTATGAAAAACTATGACAAGCTACATTATTTCTATTTCATATTAGGTTTATAATAGAAAATATTTCGGATATTATAATTATTATTCAGAACGTCCAAAAGTGATTGATTCCCTACGACTAATTAGTCCAAGAAAATTTGTTGTTTTTGAATTCAACAAAAAAACCAATAACAATAGACAGATATGTGTAAAATTTCATGCTCTATGTTTCTATTCTATTGAGTGGGAGATCTAAGAAGATGACAGATTTACGTTTTTATCCAACGATGTTCTTTATCATGTTAATAGTATCGATCATACGATTGATTTTTAGAAAAGAACAAATAAAAAGTGTTACAAAGAAGTTTATCTAAATACAAAAATATTAGATAAATTCAGAAATACGCTACAGACGAAGTATTATTGTTTTCTCTTATATTGCATTGTTTATTTACTTCTTCATTTAACTCATCAATAACACTTTTTGTTGTTTCAACTTGTTCATCATCATCATCAAAATGTTTTTTTAATATATTTAATTTTAATTGGGCCATTTCTAATGCTTTATCATATCGTAATTGATCATAATAAAGTATACATAAATTATTATAAGTATCAGCAAGACCTAAATTATCCGATGATAATGTTATTTGTTCGATTTTAAGTGCTTTAGTATAACAGTCTAATGCTTTATCATAATATCCTTCTTGTCGATAAGCAATTCCCATATTATTTAAGGTATCACTTATTGATGGATGTTCTGGTGGTAAAGTTTTTTCTTTTATTTTTAATGCACTTTTATAACACTGTAATGCTTTCTCATTATCATCGAGATCTTGATAGATAGTTCCAAGATGATTTAATGAATCAGCAACTGATGGATGACATGGTGGTAATGTAAGCTTTTTCATTTCATATGCTTGTTGAAATAATTCTAATGCTTTTTGAAAATCTCCTTGTCTTTTATGAATTGTTCCGATAGCAGTTAATGTTGTTGCAATTGATGCATGATTAGGATTATCAATAAGTACGGCACGTTTCATTTCTAAAGCTTGTTCATAATATTCCAATGCTTTTGATGTTTGTCTTCGTTCTGAGTAAATATTTCCAATATTATGTAATGTTCGTGCTATAGCAAATGATTTTTCTTCTGGTTGAATTTCAGTTTTTTGTAAAACTAATGCATGTTCATAATAATCAAGAGCCTGTTTATGTTCACCACGAAGATAAGAAACACGACCAAGATGAAAATAGATTTGTGGAATATCACTATGATTTTTTGGTAAATCTTTTAAAAGATTTTTTAAATATTTTTCAGATTTTTCATATTTACCCATATCACACATCTAAATCAATAAATGTATTATTATTATTATTTAAGAAGACAGAATAACTTACTAATCGACTAAATAATAAAGTTGACTTGGATTCTTCATTTTCTTTTCTTATACTGTCAATGTATTCATTTACTTCATCTGATGATTTATCAACACCTACAAAAGACAAAATAGCAATGTTTGTTTTTTAAACAATAATACAGTAAAAAATTCTCTATGATGAACAATATTAAGACTTTTTCAGAAAGTTTACTTGTCACGAATAATTCCTATTTTACTATGAAATATCTAAAGTTCTAGAATATTAACTTGAAGCATTCCAGATTCCAATGTTCTTCGTCATATTTTTTAATCATAAATTTAAGAACTATTATTGTCTATCAACAGATTCTTGCTGACGCAGAAACAGCAGAAATTTTATTTGTGAAACTTTTGAACTATGCTTCGTTGATGAAAAATTCAACAGGAGACTGATGAAATTGTCTTGTTTTCTATGACTTTATTTTAACAGAAAAGCCCGAGATTGCTTGAGCTTAAAATATATTTTAATTAGTAATTGAATGTTTTTTTTCAATGAACTTATTTATGTCTATTGTGCGATGTTCTAACAATAAATGCATCGACAAAAAAGAACTTCAAAAAAGAAAACAAAAAATTCTTTTGCTCTTTTAATATAATCGAGAGTATTTTTCGTATTTTACAGCAATTGAATATGACTTTTAAGAGTTTTTCAAAGTCTTCAAGTTCAATATTTCTCTCTCGATTCGGGCATCATATTATCTATCATTATTGTCTGCTCAAATTCATAAAAATCAAGTAATGATACGAACTAAATTAATATCTTCTTTAAAAGCAATAGAATAAAATTACACCATAAAATCATAGTTTTGATCAATCTTTTAAGATTTGTGTGAAATCAGCTAAATTCTAGGCTCCGATTNATCATAAATTTAAGAACTATTATTGTCTATCAACAGATTCTTGCTGACGCAGAAACAGCAGAAATTTTATTTGTGTAACTTTTGAAATACGCTTCGTTCATGAAAAAGGAGACTGATGAAATTGTCTTGTTTTCTATGACTTTATTTTAACAGAAAAACCCAAGATTGCTTGAACTTAAAATATATTTTAATTAGTAATTGAATGTTTTTTTCAATGAACTTATTTATGTCTATTGTGCGATGTTCTAACAATAAATGTATCGACAAAAAAGAAAACAAAAATTCTTTTGCTCTTTTAATATAATCGAGAGTATTTTTCGTATTTTACAGCAATTGAATATGATTTTTAAGAGTTTTTCAAAGTCTTCAAGTTCAATATTTCTCTCTCGATTCGGGCATCATATTATCTATCATTATTGTCTGCTCAAATTCATAAAAATCAAGTAATGATATGAACTAAATTAATATCTTCTTTAAAAGCAATAGAATAAAATTACACCATAAAATCATAGTTTTGATCAATCTTTTAAGATTTGTGTGAAATCAGCTAAATTCTAGGCTCCGATTCGTCCTATAATTCCTATATTTTTGAAAAATCCTATATTTTGTCCTATATTTCGATTGATCTTCCTATATTTTCTCAAAAAACTGGAAAATTTTCACGAGATGTGACTTTGCCCTGAGGAGGAGTATAAGAATCTTAGCGACACTACCGCCCTCGGGTCATCACTTTTTACGAAATAACAAGGTAATATGAATAGCTGTTTTTTGCAAGTAAAACACGTACATTTGAGGTGTGGTTTGACGTACAATATCTAAATTTTGGTCAATTTTTTTACCTTTTTTAAGTAAAAATAACCGTATAATTCCGAAAAAGAAATCCTATAAAGGAATTCCTATAATTTCGAAAATTTGTAATCGAAGGCCAGACTAAATTAAACATTGAAATAAAGTAAATAATCATGATTAAATACTTAATTGAAAGATTAGAGCTTTCGACTAAGCCCAAATTTCTCTCATTAATCTTTATAGAAAGCTTTATTTCTATGAATATTTGATACACTTCATAATACTTAGCAATATGTATTTTTGTTTAAAATGTAGTGCTTAGCTGGATGACATAGTGCTTCGTAGTATTCATTTTCACTAAAAATTACTAATTAGCAGTTTGTATTTAGATCAAACTACAGTACTAGGGCTCCGTTAAGTAAGATAGCATCTAAAAATAGGCAGCATGTAATGAAGACACATTGATTAGTTAAAGATGAATTAGAAAAGCATCACTTGATAATTCTATTGAGTACTCCGTGTTTTTACATTGTCACTAATTGCATTGAAATAATAATAGGATGAATCCGCGGGGTTTCTACCACTTTTTGGAAGAAGGGTATTCTGTGCCAATGTTCTGAAAGAAAGGTTTCTTTTCGTTTTGAATAGTCTAGTTAGATGTATCATGGTCGAAAACGGTCTAAGGCAACAATTAAAACCTTTTTGGACATATCAAGTGTGAAAAATCACATTGTTTTTTAGAAACACTCCACACCGGTAAAGGGCAACTCATAATAGCTGATGATAAATTGTTTACCATATTTTTCATAGTTTTTGTTGACATAGAGAGCTAAAATTTTTATCACATGTATATCTAATGAAGATCTTATGTTTCTGAAATTTTCACTTCTCTAGCTAAAACTAATGGTGAAATACATCAAGTTTGCACTCGATTTTTCCAATAATTTAACGATAAAAATATGCAAAAGTCGAGTACGAAACTTCATGTATTTCATCTTTAGTTTTAGCTAGAGAACCAAAAATTTTAGAAATAAAAGATCTTGATTAGATATAGATGTGATAAAATTTCAGCTCTCTATGTCAGCAAAAAGTATGAAAAATATAATTAACAATTTATTATAGGACACTCTTTATATGTGTGGAGTGTTCCAAAAAAATGATTTGATTCTCAACACTTTATATGTTCAAAAAGGTTTTAATTATTGCGTCAGACCGTTTTCGATTATGATACATCTAACTAGACTATTCAAAGCGAGAAAAAAAAAATTTTCCACAAAAGTGGTAGACATCCCACGGATTCATCCAATAATCTCAAAAGACCACAACACTTCCAAGAGGATTAAAGCAGACTGCTCAACACTATATTTTATTGAAAATGCATGCTACTAAGACTAGAAATAGCATCAAATTTTGAGAGAGTTTCTAGTTTTTAGGGAAGCCCATAAAGAGAGATTTGAGGGTGTATATTATCATGAAAGATGTCTATCAATATAATATTAAACAATAGTCTATTCAATGATATACAATGGTTACGTAATATGATTCTGTTATTTTGAATATTAGCCATTTAATGAAACTTGAAAGTAAAGAAAATAAAACGAGATATAATACTACCTGATAATTGCACACTCCATAGCTTTCTTCCTTGATCGAATTCCACATGAACAATTTTAAAAACTGTTGCTAAATCAAAAAGAACTTCTTGTTCTTCTGGAAATTCACTAAGTTCAGCAATATCAGCAAAAATCATGTTATCACCACGAACATTTCCAGTTATTTCTAATACAACTCCACCAACCTCTTGTCTTTTAGATTCTTTAGTTGCAAATTGAACAGCTTGTTCAATATCTCGACTTGTTGAAAAAAATCCATTCATTGATATTAAACCACCAACATTATTACGCATTTGAAAAAGTTCATTATTTGTCATTTTTATTCCACGATATACACGAATTATCGTCCTTTTTTCAGTGTTACATGTTTCACGTAATTTTCTATGCTCACAAGCAATTTGATCACGTAAATGAGTTATATAAGTACGGAAGATATATAAAACTTCAATATCGTCAGTGCGCAATGCTTGATTAACCAGTCTGTAAACAAATGAATGTTTACTGTACCAAAAAATCGCATCTTCTGGTTTCTTTATAAATAAGAAGTTTCATTTAGAAAATATAAAGTTTAAATTCTTTTTAAAAATAAACTTACATAATTTCTTCTAAATTCTGCAATATATTTTAATTCAACAGGATTTCCTCGATAATAAGCTTGACAATGAGCAAGCATTTCTTGAATTCCCATATTATTTTTATCTGTTATTATTATATTTTTCAAAACATCAGCTAATACTTGAAACCAAAGAAATGCAGCTGATTCTCGTGTCAAATATCTTGTTGAACTTTGTTTACCATCAAGTAAAGCATATGTAGCTGCTTGTTTTGTAACTAAATCAACATTATTTGTGAGTGAATCAATTAAACTTGTTTGTTCAACAAATACACCAACTATTTTGGAATATTTCTTTTGTAAATATATATATTTCTCTTCACAAAAACAGAATATAAATATAGAATCAATTTGTTTGAATGAATGAATTTTATCAAGATGTTCAACTGCATATGAGCCTGATATAATTAAAAAAATTTTTTCTTTCGATACAGATTTTAGATAATCAATGCATGCTTGAGGTTTAGTAAAAAATAAAACATAATAATTTAATTGTCTTAATAAACCTTTTGTTAATTCAACATCTTCTTGATTTTCAATTTCATCCATATATTGATCAAACCATACTACAGTAAAATCTTCATTTGTATTTTCACTTGAACTACTATTAGTGGTTTTTGTTGAGTTTTTTTTAGATTCATTCGCATTTGTCGAAACACAAGACGCCATTGAATCTTACTTTGATATATCAACCAGCCACTAAATAGGTAAGTATATGTGCTAATAGTTGAGTGTGACACGTGAATATTATGAATAATTTTTTTTTATAAACAACATGCTTTGACTACACGGATGATTGACTTATAGAAAGAAGAAATAGTAAAAAAGCCCATATCATTTTCATGATAGACATGTGCTTGTTTCGTCTTATTAGTAATATGCCGTAGTAAAATGACATTGCAATTTTTACCCATCAAAATAATCAATATGAAAAATATTAATCAAAAGAAAAAATACATTTTTTATTAAAAACAGCTAGTTGGCTTAGCCCTCTTTTGAGGCTGAAATGAGGAACTTACAAGTGTTCTTTAGTCTCATTATACTAATAGAAAATGCGTAAAGTGAAAAATCTCTCACAAACTATTGTTGTTTTTCAAGATAATCAATTAATAGGGAAGTAATGCATCTTATTTATTTCTGCATATCGAACGAAATTTTTTTTCTATTTTGTGTTTGCTTTATTGCAATTCACTTGTTGTTTTTCTTTTTGTGTACTCAAAAAGTGAGTACACTCTAGAATCGGTCAGTGTGTCCGTCCGTCCGTCCGTTTACACGATAACTTTTGAAAGGAGAGTCCGATTGCGATGAAATTTTCTACACAGTTCAGTCTTAACAATATCTCGGTCGAGTTCAAAGATGAGGATGATTGGTCGAGCCGTTCCTGAGTTATTACAAAAATAGTCATTTTTCCCCTATGGCTTCCTATAGGAAAATCGATCTATTCTCACTNTATTGTTTGGGTATTTTTCTCCTCCCTTTGATTCGACTCTGGCGCCATCTATTTTCAAGTTTTTTAAATTATGTTATCTCTTAAACTATTGATCTGGGACCATTGGGAATACTTTTAATGAACTCTCCAGGGTCTAATTAGTCGAATTAAGTGAATAGATGAGGGGGGGGGGGGGGGTCGATAAGTGTTTTTGTCCCCAACAAAGTCAAGTGTTTATAGGAAAGATTTGACAGGATAATTTTGATGTCTACACATTCTAGGATGACTCATCTGTCTAATTCACTTTTTGAAGTGCACATAACTCTCGGATTTAAATCCGAGGTTTCCACATTTATTTCTTAATTTAACATTATTATTGTTCTAATTAATGATTCAACTGACAAATAAACTTGTTCGCCATATCCATCATATCGAAAGCAGACCTCAATACACTATTAAATATCTCACTTAGTTTATAAACGCTAATATTGCTTATTTCCAAAAATTACGTGTAACTTGATCAGTCCAGGCTTTTTTTATCTTGATCATATGACCACTGTGCCTATGTCGCCTCTTTTTTTTATCAACTTCGTCGCACATTACTCGTATTGCACGATCCACTGTTACTGATATCAACAAATTATAAGTGATTTGTTCTTATTTGTAATTGGTCACACTCTAACGCTAAAACTTAGCCACACAGGGTTTGTATAATAGGAAGTCTTCATGAGACTTCGGTTCATAATTCATTCTACTACAGCGGATAGAATGTCGTGTTTCTAACAGCAAGGATCTACAATGATAGCAAAGTATCGAAGATCCTTGTGACCTTTGATTGACATTCTATTTTATACTTTGCTGATAAAAACAAAGTATCAAGGGTACACTTTCTGAGAACTGTTGACACTGCTTTTCATTGCATGGAAGCTACACTTTTTTTCGTTTGTAGACATTTATTTTATGTTCTGACGTGTTCAGACTAATCATATCATTCGTTAACATGCTTCTATCTATTTGTTCATTATTGTTATTGTCTTCTTTTTTGATTACCGGCGTTTTGCGATCGTTATCCATCGTCTTATTTATAATTATTGATTTTAAAAAGTAGAATTGACAAAGGAATGGAATTATATGTTTAATATTTTCTCTAACTCGTCACATCTATTTTCTTTTCAGATCAGATGAACAGAAAACAAATCAAATTGACTGAATTTTGAAATAAAAAACGAAAATCATCAACCAGTGTTTTACTTTCGTATGAAAATCAATAATAAAGTTCTTCATCATCATGTACATTTAATGCTATCCCATCATGTATACTTGAAGAAACAGTAACAGAAATTGAAATTATTTCGAGCGAATCTTCATAAGATTCAAGTGTTTAAGACGTTCGGGTATTAGTTTTTTTCCTTCTGTATAGAATTATATAGATCCAGATTCATCGAGTCCTTCGCTCCTGAACCTATAATAGAAAGTCTTTGGCAAAAAACCATAATTCAATTTTTTTCGAAATCAGTATAAAGATTTTGTGTGGCTTAATATGGACGCCATTTGTAGTTGATGGGAGCCGTTAAAGTCATCATTGTGTGATTTATTATTTTCAATTGATAGCAATAGACACATGAAACGTTTCTCTCTTTTGTCTTATTCGAGTCATCTACATCTTGGAATTGTTGTGATACTTTGTTCGAAAAAACCGAGTGTCGCCTGATACTTTGCTTGTTCAAATGATACGTTGTTGAACTCTTTGTTTCAGATTTTTATTAGTGACGCTGATAGAATGTATTCTGAAGATAATTAAAAAGTTCCTTTTAAATACTTTTCATTAGTATTTTTTTCTCATTTTTAAAATTTTCGTAGATTATTAATTTTACTCATTTTAGATTTTAAAATTTTTCTATTGTTTTCTAATTTTTTTAATTTTGTATTTTAAAACTTTTTTGTAACTTACAATAAAAATATTAATAAAATGAAAACCTTACCTGTGCCGTATCTTTCTTAGTAACTGCTTCGTAGTTTGATCTTAAACGAAAACATGGATAGCGAATCAATGACATCTTAAATATAAACTTTGATTCGCGCAAAAATCAAAAACTGTACTATTTAGAACATTCGCAAACGTATTCCAGCAATTGGATTTCAATAAAAACTTTGGGATGTTCTAGAAAGTTGTGATGATCGCCAAATAATTGAATAAGATTAATAATTATTGGGGTAAAAAGTCATATTGATTGATTGCGAAAACTTTATTTTGACATTATCATGTTTATATTTTTATTAGTACACAAAAAGATATTATGTAATAATATGTCATTTGAAAGATTGACACATGTACTGCAGACTCATATAAAAAACATTCGATTAGGGGTTATTTTCTCTCTGCATATAAATTAATTTTATTGCCGTCAAGATATAGAAAAACACCCAATACAGTAAAACTTCTCTATTATGAACACTGTCGGGATTATATGAAAGTGTTTACTATACGAAGATGTTCTATTTAGAGAGTTGACACATTGTTTGCTGTGAAAAGAAGAAAAGGTTTGAGAATATCTTCTTATACATTAGTCTTAGATATAAGTCTGGTTATTTATTCTCTTATTTATCTAATGAATTAGAATTGAACGATTTTTCAATAACGACATGACCTGTCCATTCGTAACGTAATAACGATTTTGTACTTTCCATTTTTGATATCTCAACGGAACGAAGCCAAATAAAGCTAAAATTTTCAGAATATATTTAAGCCGAGTTTCCCTACACACCCTCAAAGTTTTATTAGAATCAAAACTTCCCTCACAATTTTATGATTGAAATATAGCCTCGTAATGGAAGAACCAAAAATATTCTTGAGTTTGAGTGTTATATAAAGAACTGAAAAATTCAGCGCAAATAAAACTGCGAACCAAAAACTTTCTGTATGGAAATTATAGCTTAGATGACACGTTCCGAAAAATAAAAAATAAAATTTGAAAATACAAAAGCCTCATGACGAAATAACGGTTTTTAAAATCTAGATAGTTTCATTGATGTTTATTTCTTCAGAAAGTTAATTGTAGTTCCATCGGAATGAACAAATTGTTAGCATCTCTGAAAAAAACAATTAAGAAAACGTTTCAAATAATCCTTCTGACAACGTTTACTTTATGAAAACATGAGTTTCGCATTTTTCTGACTTTGCCGAAATAGATGGACCGTTACGTGGACAGGTCGAACATAATATTTAATTTTGGTGGAACTCATATATATTTTCGAAGAAAATAGTGAGTGTAAGTTTTAAGTCCTATTTTTGTGGCTGCTGCCCCCCGCCTACTACCCACTTCCTATTACAGACACTTATCAATCGAGAATAACAGATATTAGATTTTTTAGAGTATTTTTTCAAAATTGATCGAGTTATAATTTTGACAGATAATCAACGTCATTATTTCTGAGTTGATTAATATATATAATGGTGAATAAGATCTGTTGAAAAATATCATGACGATGTAAAACAGACTTATTTTCCGATTAGTTCCATGATTAAAATAATAAGAATGTTAAATTAAGAAATATGAATTTCAAAAATGAAAAATAATGAACAAATAGCAACAATGCAAACAAAAAATAGGGCATCTATAGAAAAAATAAAAAATTTCTGTTCGCAATGAACACATTAGAAAGGCTCTTACTCTAATGTTCGATTATTCTACAAAACAACTATAGTCTACAAGAAGTTTTTTCACTTTACGTATTTTGTATTAGTTGAATGAGACTAGAGAACATATATGAGTTCCACATTTCAACCCTAAAGGGGATGCGCCAACAAGCTTTTTTCAAATCCTTCATGTTATTTGTCTTTTAACTTTTGAATTAATACTAACATCAGTTAATGGATGTTATTTTGGTTGTTGTGTTGCTGCCAATAAATAAGCTGTTAGTATCATTTTCATTACGTCTATTATTTTTGGTAGTAATTCTATTGGTACACAATCATCATCATCAGTGCCAACATATTATTCATTAGTATTCGATGTTCACATTTATTGAACGCAAGTTTATCTTTATCTATATTCATAACTCTCATACGTATAATATGTACATAGTCATAGTGCATAAGAAAGAGACCAAAAAACTACTGCACATGTGTTCAGATTAGAGAGAAGCATTTCTAACAAAAATCGCTCCGTTGCACCTGAGACCGTTCATAATTAGGTGATGCTCTCTAGTAGAAGTTTTAATATATATGAGTTCCATAAAAAAAAGACTAAATAAATTTAAAAATGAATAGAAAACAATTTTTATTTATCTTTTAATTGAATTTTCATAGAACAATTTGGACATTCAATAATATCAAAATTAATTTCATCATCAATTTGTAAAATAGTTCCACATCGACAAGTATATTCATCATCATTAAAATCATTCGAATTAATATTTGTATGTGGAAGAGTATGTAAATGACGACGTTCTTGTTCTTGATCATATTTTAATCGAAGTTCAACATTTGAAAGTATTTTATAAGCATATTGAATATCTTCAAAACGTTTTCTATTTGTTAAATCATTTGAATTTGTTTTATCTGGATGATATTCAAGTAAAAGACGATGATATTCTTGTCGAAGAATATTCAATGAACAATTTGATGGTACACCAAGAATTTCGTATAAATTCATATCTACAACAAATTACAATTTTTTCTCCTTTATATCTTTTTAAAAAAAAAAATTCAATAAAGTGTTCTTCAAAAAAGAAAACGAAGAGATAATAAACACAAAAATATCTGACATAATAAAATAATTGAAGACTAGATTTAAAATCAATTGTTTGGTGAAAATGTTTGAATTTCATCAAAGATAAATTGACGATAATCATCTATTGTACAAACACAAGTCATATCATCACTCAATGAAAATGGTATTGAACATATTGGCTATGATTGATTAACAAATAAGACAAAAAATTAATTAATAATTTCTATTTATAAAAAATAAAATAATTTTTTTACTTCATCTTCTGGATCTGAATATTGAGTTAAATATAGATGACTTAATGCTTGTTCAGCTGTATATCTTAATGATGGATTAAATGTTAATAATTTATCAAGTAGATCAAAAGCTACATAAGAATATTTTTTATTAATTTATTAAAAAACAAAATTATATTAACATACCAAGTGAACTTCCTCGAGGAAATAAATCACTGAAAATACGTTTTGCTTTAAATGGCATTCGACTTATATAAGAACAAGCCTTTTTAATAAAATAAAAAGTTTTTTTTTTTTTTTTTTTTTTATAATTTATTTTCATTTTAAAAAAGAAAATCTTACTCTTGGATCACGAATTGATGTTAAATCATCTTTTGTTGGTGAACCAATTATTGAAAAAATATGATTTAATTGATCAACATAATGACGACCAGGAAATAATGGTTTACCAAGGAGCATTTCACCAAGAATACATCCACATGACCATAGATCAACTAAATGAATTTATAGAAATTAATTTGAAAAATTTTAATTTTTAAAATATAAAATAAAAACATACTCGATTTATGATAACAACGTTGACTGACCATTATTTCTGGTGCACGATACCATCGTGTTGCTACATACTCTGTTAATAAACCGTCATCTCTTGCTTTATCATCTACTGTACGAGCAAGACCAAAATCGCAAATCTTTTATGAATAAAAGAAGGATTTCATGTACAAAAATTTCACAAATATTTTTCATTTTACTTTCAAATCACATGATCGATTTAGTAATAAATTACTTGGCTTTAAATCACGATGTAAACTAAAACAAACAAATTGTTTCATTTTTATCATTAATGAAATTGACTAAACATCATCAACTTTTTTTTTTGTCTTCCTATTTTAGTTACGACTACATCCTGCTAAGACAAATAATTCGATCTTTGGTAAAGATTTAATGCAGTATTCAAAAATCCAGTGCTCAGTTTTTTTGAACAGTTTGAAAATTCTCTCATTCCTTCTATAGAGTAAGATCGGGTGATGTCTATTTTTCTGTTAATCATTAGAAAAAGTAAATAACAAACAAAAGAAAATAAATTTTCACTGAAATTTCAATCTAAATCGATAGTACTACTTATCGCAATTAATTGAACGCTTTAGCGGTTAAACTATGGAAACACAGTTCAAGTTAATAGTTAGATTAGTATATTATCTAGCACATTACTAGTTATGGTACTGTCCGGATTTGAATCGAGGGCTTCATCTAGATTCTCTTTCCTAGCGGAAAAATGTTCACTTGCATAGGGAAGAACAAACACTTTGTGAAAAACGATTGCATAGATTTTAACGCAATGTCTGTGAACTGTGCAGGGGCAAATCCAATCTTTCGATGAGAGTCGCTTGTCCGACTCCAACGGTAAGAAAAGTGATAATTCAACTTACAGTCGGAATTCGTTTTTTTTTGTTCTTTTAAGCTAAGAACAGAATGCTAACTAATAAATTCATTATCTTAATCCATAAAATGGGTAATATTTCTTTCATAAACCTTTCTATATATATATCTCATTATTCTGATGACAAAAGTCTATTTTAATCATTTCTGAGTACAGTGGATGAAAAGAAACTTTTCATCACTTTCTTCAACATTGTATCAGATTACTGAACCAAAGAGACAAAATGCCACTTGTTTCACATTTTTCTTCTTCATCAAAACTTACGCGTTGTGGATATTTTTGAATAAACTTCTATCATATCATTATTTCGAACCTATTATGTGTTAAAAGTTTTTTTTTTATTTTCTTTATAAAGCAACAGATAAACAATTGAAACAAAGAATATATTATTGTCCTAAATATGAAACTTTCCATAAAAAAACACATTTATGGCAGTTTGAATGTGTATCAGACATGTTTAACTAATTCTTCAAACGTTCTCATATTCATGTAAAACTAACAGTGAGAGATTCTTTTGATGAGCAATCGTAAAGCTTTTATATAACAATTTTATAAAGATAATTATTAATTGATTTCAATTGAGGTTTCGAGAATCGTATAAAAAGCACGTATTTCTTCTAGATACGATTATTCTATTTGCCTCTAGTCTCACTTGACTAAAACCTAGAGAGCAGCTCAAAATCACATATTGCAGAGAAGTGTCCGCTCTACAAAATCACCAGCACCGAGGATTTTTCACATATTCAAAAAGAGACTTATAGGATAAACGAAAAACCTGTTATTTCACATTTTAAAATAATTTTTCAGGTCTTTCAACAAGTTTCTTACTGCTCTTGAACAAAAATAGACACAATATTTCTAAGCCCACAATCAAATTCTGGTCGCAACTTATAGTTTTTCACTCGTTTCAAATGCTTTGAAGCAGGTCAAAGTGAACATGTTTATTCATTGGAAACGTTGGCCAAGAAGTTTCGTTGAAACTAATTGTTTGAACCGTTTAAAGATTATTTCATTATTTTCAAACAAAAATGACGAAAGAAGATCTTCAAGTGTTAATAATCAATCGAACTAATATTTTACCCATCAATACATCCCGATCGAACTACTAGAAGTCTAAAAGGTTTCATTCTCCTTAAAATATTACAATTTTACTGAACTTTTTACCTTTGACAAGATATTTGTGAAAAAAATCGAATTATGAAGTTTCAACCTAAAGGAATGTGTTATTACCGAGATATCGAATGTTGGAAACACTGACCTTTCTCATATTTTCTTGTGATACATGATTGTTTTGAGATATTCAATATTTCAAGACGAACACATCCTTTCGAGTTGAAATTCAAATAACTTAATGGAGATACAAAATTCCGTAAAGTTGTAATAATTTGAGAAAGACAGTGTATGTGCACGAGATCTTAAAAGGTGTTCCATAAGTTCTGAGTCTCAATGACACTTAGTTTATATGTAAACAAAGAATGACTCGTATCAAACTGTATCTATATGAGCTTCGAGTATTTAGGATAATGTTTTAAATGACATTATCTTTTTTAACAATAGTGATATAAACAGAAAGAACATGATCATTCAGATGTGGGCGGATACACATAACAACATCCTCGGTTAGGGATGCACCAGTCCAGTCGGACTGAGTATCCAGCTCTAATGAATATTCAGTAAAGTGACCTAGAATCAACTCGATAATCCGTATTTCTATTTTTGACCAAAGGTAATCAGGTTTTGAAAATTTTGAGTTTGACTTCTTTGCNATAGAAGATATCGGGTTTTCTATTATGTATACATATTTCAGAGAAATCTTCTATTGCCTTTCATATTTTTCATAATTTGTAATTATAAAATACTTTGCCAAAATGTAATGCATGACACTTTGTTACTATTATATAAAAAAAGTACTTTTATAATAAGAGCATCATTTTTGAGAGTTTTTCGAGGAATTAAACTTTTCATCTTTGTTCTCCACTTCAAAATTAAAAATTTAACAAAAAGAGCTCTGTCATGTTCTGCATTCCGACATTCTGTTTCAAACAAAGAACAACATTAATTATTCGGAATGAAGACCTACAGAGATTTTCGGATTTAACAAATAAGTTATTATCTTTTACCTTTGTTTGTTGAATATCTATCGAAAAAAATTATTGCAGAGACCTGAAAATTTTATCATAGTCTCTTCACTAAAGTCCCAACGTCTCCTGAAAACTTCATGCGATTTGAATGTACTTTTAGCCAAGATTAATTTTTGAGGGGTACTACAAGTTCGAATTTTTCGAGAAATTCAATAATTAAGATCAATTTTTTTTATTCACTATGGGAAGCTAAGACGATAGCACATCTCCGAAAGTCTGGTTGACCCTTCTGAATTTTGTGGTTATTATATCACATATTATGTGTTTGTGCTTCCAACAATAAGTATTCGTTCTCCAGGAGTTTTAGATCACTCCTCTGAATGATAAGATCTAGATAAAACACTGGTAAAGGAAGGTCTTCTATTACGTTCGGCGTATGATTATTCGAGGATGGCGGGTGTTCTATGACGGGATTGGTTTGTTAGTTCTATCTGCCATGCACGCTGTATTAGTTAATAAAATCTGCATGCTCTTCCTGTTATTTTCCTTATGTCAATAAATATAACTTAATATTTTTTTTCAAAATATCTTATGGAGAATACCATTCGAATAATAATCTTTATCAAAATATTAGACATTAAATTTAATAGAAATAATTTTATTATTTAAATTATAGACTAATATCATGAATCGTTCTTGTACTTTGTTTCCTTATCTAAGAGTACTGCACTTGTATAAAATTACTTTTCAAATACTACATATAAGATTTGTATGAAGAAATAAATCTTTGAATAGAAAATATTTATCATTCATGAAAAATGATATTTTCTTTTCATGTATATTAAATTTATTTTATTTAAAGGATAAATCAATATTAAATATCATTGAATGACTTTGAAGAATAGCAGAGTCCATCATTTATAATGATTGTTTATAGTTATCATAAACTTCTAATGATATATATATATATAATAAGATTGATTCGAATAAATCAATCATTGTTATTAAATGTCATATTTTATTACTTTTAATCTCAATAATTCTATGAGAATTTGTTCATTTTAACGTTGATATATTATACAAGTAAACAACTAAATGATATATAAGGTCAAATATGTCAAAAAAATCTGATTGCATACTTTATTACAAAACAGTTTCTTTTAATCCTTTAACAGATAAAAATGAGTTTATTTGATCATGTGCTAAACATGATTGTGGCAAAAATCCAATTGAACCATCATCTTCTTTCTGTACAAGTAATGTTGATTTACCAATACGTCTTAATAAACGTACTTGATCACCACGTATAACTGAAAATATTTTTGTACCATTTGTTGCTGATAATAATGAAGAATTTTTATATTCATGCCAAACAAGATACATTCCTTTTTGTTGAGAAGATTTTTTCGAATGACAACGAGATTTATTAAATTGTTTATCAGTATTTATTGAAGATGATGATGATGTTAATGATGATGAATATGATGATGAAAATGATGTATGAAAACAATCTAATGTACGAAGAGAATCAAGTTCTATTGCAGCTAAATTAAGCTCATCAAAAACATGATTCGTTTTTGGTAAATTTGATAATGGTTTTGAGTATGTTAATGATGGATCATCATGCATCATGCATATTGTTGTAAAATGACGTTGAAGATGTGCATGATTAGGTTCCGATACTACTGGGGATGATATCTAAAATTAATATATAACATTCAGTTGTATTCAAGATTCTTATTTTAGATTGGTTGAAACTATATTTGTTAAATCTTACTTGATTATCAGATTGTTGTGTTTGTGTTTTTGGCCAAAGTGAACTATCACAAGATAAATGTCTTCGTCGTTTTGCTCCATTGGTTTTCATTTGTCTCTGTGGTTGTTGTTGTTGTTGCTCTTGTGTCGAAGGTTTAGTTTGTTGTGATTGAATGGTTGTTTTCGGTAACGGTTTAATATGTGGATATGATCGACTAGCTGATAGAGAATGTTTTTTTTGAAAAAGGTGATAATAAAAATCTGATGAATTCATAGGTTTATTAATTATTGTATCTGACGTCGATGAATCTGTTGAAGAATTTTCAATAGATTTTTTATAATGATTAAATGATGAGCGTTGTTCACAATGACAATGAGGACATGATATATGTAATGGACGTGTATGTGAAGATGTTGTTGTTGAAAAACTTTCTTCTGAATAACCAGAATCTCCACCTGCATTATATTTATTATTTATTGAATATATTTCTTGATTATTTCGTCGATGAGATTTTGTTGATGAATTTTGTCTTTTATATCTATCGGAATAATTAAC